TAAGTTTATGTACAATGTTAGCAGGATGTGCAGATTTAACCTTTTTTCTCAATCAGATGCTGCTATTTGATGGATTTCCAAAAACACATAAAATCAAAGGAAAAACTATGAGTTGGAAAACGAGTAACTTTTCAAGTTGGAAATAATCCCATAAAATTCACTGGTTTTAGTTTAAAGTATTTTTTCTTTTAGGAAAAAAGCTAATTGCTGTTACTTACTGTCAAATGAGATATTAAGGTATAAAGAAGGTTATAACAGTTAAAAACACTGTCAATTTAGTTTTTATACATTTTTGCCTAGAGCATATAATAACATACAATTTCATTGGGCCTAGTGCACACATAAATATATATATGTATATTTAAAAATAAATAACAGAAACAAAAAATTCATGATACCTGAACTTACTCATGTGTGAGGTAATCTGATATTTTCTCTTCTATTTTATATGCTGGTTATGGCCCATTCAGTTGAATTCATGACCCCCGGTGGATGAAAACCTGGAGTGTAAAAATCATTTATCTACACAGACCTGCTAACTACTGTAGGAATCCTTTTCATAGTCTCCCTGATAGAAGATCAGAAAACTCTACATGAACTTTCCATGATGCTTTCTACTTCACCAGGGGCTTCCATTGTGGGAGAGCTGCTACTGGAAATTGGACATTACTTTAAAAAATAATTTTCAAGAATTGATGCCAGTGTATCCCCTTTCGTCCTTCACTCCCTGCTTTTATTTTTATTTATTTCCCTGCTTTTATTTTTTATTTTGCTAAGTAGCTGCTCTGTGTCAGACACTGCACCTTGTACTGCAGATACAGACAGGACTCAACTTTTTGTTCCCAGGAGGTTTTACTCCAGTAGAGGTGTCTACCTCTTAGAAACAGACTTTACATTTATTTGAACATTGTTTTATAGAACAATATAAAGCAAATCAAATTCCTTTGCATATAACAAACTTTGGTATATGAAACTTCTGCTGCCTTTGAATATATTTTTTTCTCTACACTTAACTTTTTCAGCATCTACACACTTTCGTTGGATGCCATTCTTCCTCCTCCCAAGGTTTCTCTTCCTACACCACCTCCTTACCCTCCCTCTTTTTAAAATGGAAGCATAATTTACATACAGTGAAATACACAGATCATAAAGGACAGTTGGACCCATTTTGACAAATGTATGCAAATAAATGATATACTCCCCTCACTCTAGATTTTTTTTTGTTAAATTCTTTTATTGGTACATTTTAGGTATCCAACACAATTACATTTCTCATTGGGAATTGTACCTTTATATAATGCATCTTATGTTTTCCCCATTCCTAACCCTCCCTACACCCCCTCCACCCTTCCCTATTTACAAAGACTTTATTTCCATTTTTTCCATTTCTCAGCATTTTTCCTTTCCCTTCTTTCCTTT